TCACTTAGGAAGGCCTTTCTTACTGTAAGATTATAAAAATATGTGCCCATTTTTCTGGTGCCTCTCTATGATTTTACAGTTAAGTGTAAATATTTGTTCCATGTATGATTATTTTTGTATAAGGGATGCGGTAAGGATCTAGCATTACTTTTCTCTGAATGTCTGACCAGTTTTTCCCAATGCCATTTATTAAATCTTTTCCCCACTAATATCAAACACCACTTTTTTTTTTTAGATTTTATTTATTTATTTGAGAGAGAGAGACAAAGATAGTGAGAGAGAGCACAAGTGGGGAGGAGAGGGAGGAGCAGGCTCCCTGCAGAGCAAGGAGCCCGATGCGGGACTCGATCCCGGGACTCCAGGATCATGACCTGAGCCAAAGGCAGACGCTTAACTGACTGAGCCACGCAGGCGCCCTCAAACACCACTTTTATACTCAGTTCCCTAATCTTGAGTCTATTTCTGAATTTTCTGTTGTGTTCCACTGATTTGCCAGTTTTTCCTGCTTCATTATCACAGCTTGAATTGTTACAGCTTAATTGTCCTTTAAAATTTTTATTACTGACTTTGGTGAATATATGAATCATACCAGCTTATTCATGTATACTATTGTATGTCTGACTATTGCTTAATAATATGTTTTAATAATTGGTGCTGCCTTTTTTTTTATGACTTTGCTGACTAAGCTCACAAATTTATTCTTCCAGATAGGTTTTAGAAATATTTGTGACAGGTCTCCCAAGGTATCCTTTTATGTTTTGATTGAGATTTTATTCAGTTTCTAGATGAATTTAGGAGAAAATTGATTTCTTTACAACTTTGAGCCTTCATAGTTAACAACCTGGTCATTTCATTTATTCAAATCTTTTGTCCTTGAATATTTTTTATTAATTTATTCCAAAGTTTTTATTGGTTTTGGCTTCTCTGTTGCTTCAGTGGGATGCCTTTTAAATTTGACCAGATTTTTTTTTTAAGTAGTTGAACCTCTGGGAAAATATCATATTTTATAATCTGTAATACTAGCTTTCTAAACTGTCTCTTCAGTATGCCTGCCTCCCTAAACTAACAAGCTGTAGTTCTTTTTTTTTTTTTTTTTAAGATTTTATTAGAGAGAGACAGAGTGCAAGAGAGTGAGTGGGAGTGGGGGCTACGTAGCGGGTGGGGAGAAGGGCAAAGGGAGAAGCCGCCTTCCCCACACCCCCCACGTGGGGCTGGATCCCAGGATGCTGGGATCATGACCTGAGCCAAAAGCAGACCTTTAACAGACTGAGCCACCCAGGCGCCCGTACAAGCTGCAATTCCTGCCGTCCTTAGGACAAATCAGGTAATGGTTGCCTCCTGACAGCTATTTTTTTTTTTTTTTTTGACATGGAATGTTAGAAATTTCTTTATTCTTACTTATTTTTATTTTTATTTTTTTATTTTTTATTTTTTAAAGATTTTATTTATTTATTTGAGAGAGAGAGAATGAGAGATAGAGAGCACGAGAGGGAAGAGGGTCAGAGGGAGAAGCAGGCTCCCTGCCGAGCAGGGAGCCCGATGCGGGACTCGATCCTGGGACTCCAGGATCATGACCTGAGCCGAAGGCAGTCGCTTAACCAACTGAGCCACCCAGGCGCCCCCTTACTTATTTTTATTAAGCACCAGCTTAATGCTGCAGAAAATTTCAAATCACCCATTCTTCCCTCCGCCACCCAAATTCTTGATAAAGAGCTCTTCAAGTGAAGACACGCTCTCTTCTCTCTTCTCTATAAAATTTTATCAAATAAAGGCAAATAATTGTGTACATCTTGCTGTAAAATGCTGCCCACGGCTGTGGAAAGTGTCTGCCCAGGCTCCTTTCACTGTCCAGGTCCTGAAAGACTCTTGTTTATGAACTGTCTCTTCACAAAGCAAGTTCACCACTTGCTAGGTTTATCATTCTGAGGGCCAGAAACTTTCACAAAGTCTCAGTCCAGTCTCTTGTCTCAGTTGCTGTTAAGTAGGCCCTCATTACCTCATCTTCCTGTTTGTTTGCAGGCTTGGCATAAATTGCATTAAGTGGAAAACCAGGCTCTCCAGGAATGGGAAAATTAGTGATTCCCAGCGTATACATTTCTTTTTCACCTTGGCTTTTGGAATTGCACTTTTGGAGTTTCTTTAGACACTCAGAAATGTAGAGAGTTATATGTATCAAGGTTCTATCAGCTTCATTCTTAATCTCATAGTTTTTGAAGAAGACATTGGCCTTAAAGTAATAGATGGCTTCATCCACAATATCTGTATCTTTTGTCTCTCTAGGAGCAGGTCCCTTGTACTGACTTCTGATAGGCAACGGTGCCATGTTTCCAATGAGTTTGGTGTCAGGGTCCGTGAGAGAAGAGTGGTAAGCTGGCATCTTGGTGGCGCCCGTATTTCAAGCTAGACGAGGAGGTTGGGGCAGTAGTTATTATTCTTTAGTGACTGAGTACAAATTACAACAAATTTCTGATGAAGACGACAATGCATTGCTGACCAAAATTAGATATGAACACAAATATAAAATTTCAACTATTTAAGTATGACATTTGGGCAGCTTTTTATTAAGTGGAAGGAACAAACCTCTAATTATAAAAGTTTCACAGGCCATGCATGTGACAGTCTGCCCAGCCTCCTTAGATCATTTATATGATTTATTTATTGCACTTGGGATTCTAGGATCTTCTCCTGCCACCATGAGCTGTCCTTATGCCCAAACCTATTTTATCCCAAGTTGACTTGCTAAAAGCGGCTACTATTCATTAAGATTCTTTTTTTTTTTGTTACATAAATTAACCCATTTATTATAGGCTAGTAATGTTTCAAATGGTGAAGCTTCTACTGGTCTTTCAACTCCTTCAGTCTTCTGATAGCCGACTTTACTGTGACAGCAGAAGTGGTGTTGTAGGTCCAAGCGCCACCAGCGACGGTTTTCATGCAGGAGCCACAATGCCAGATCCCCACAGCTCGTCTTTTCATCTTTGTTTTGCCACAGAAGGAGCAAGTGTACTTGGCGTGCAGGCTTATTTCAATCTTCTTCACCATTTTCCTGAGGGAGGCACCACAACGGGTCCCGTATTTACCCACGATTCCGACCTTCTTGGTGCGTTTAGCCATCTCGTCTATTCAGTAAGATTCTATTATGTGAGATCCAAATGTGTGTTACAGCAAAGAGGTGGAGTTGATTTTTAGTTAGATCTGGCCATGTCTAAACTCTTTGGGGACTTGGACTACATGATAGGGCTTCCTGGTATGTGTGCCTGGATGTGTGTGCGTGTGTTTTGGAGGGCTTCTTTGTTGTGGGAGCTCCGTGACAGGAGGAAGTGGTCATGATTTCAGCAAACCTGTAACACTGTTCTAAAATCTTTTACAGAAATCTTTTACAGTATCCCTTTTTCAAGAAGTATACTTTATCAAGTACTTCAGTATATCTTACATTGTAATTTTGTAGATGTCTGCTGAGGTGCTATTACTTGATAGATTCTAAGATCAGAATTTTGGGGGAGCATGGTAATTCAGATTTAAGAAGAAATAATGTCATCGCTAATATTGGAAGTATCCATTCCAGTTGTTAATTTGAGGTCATTAAGTACTAAGCAAGATTATAAGGTGGGCCCTTACCATATTTTAGAGAGGAAAAAAATAAAGTTCATTAAGAACCATTCATTTAAATACAAACGATATAAATTATAATTATAAATTTTTGTATTAAAACAGCTTGAACCTTTGCTTTTCACACATAATGTGCTACATATTCTCTCAACCTTAGTAAAATATTTGTTTAAGCATTCTATGATACAGAGATTTTCTAGGCCAAATTAGTGTGGCTTGTTTGGGTATATTATGAAATAGTACAGACACACTAAAAGGCATAAAGAGTAATACATTATCCATGTACCTAACATTCTACTTAAGAAACGAAAATTCTACCAACATAATTGGCCCATGTACTTCTCTCTAATTGCATAATCCTTCCTTTGCCTCAGAAATAACAATTATCTCCTTTTAAACATAATCAAAGCTATGTTTTTGAACTTTAATATAAGTGGTGGGGTACTGTGACTCTCCTGCAACTTGCTTTTTTTTTTTTCATTTGCCGTAATATTTTTGAGATTCATTTATGTTGATGCATAGGTCCATTCATTTTTGCTGCTTGTACTCTTCCACTGTATGCCATAATTTCCTTATCTCTTCTGTTGACAGACATGTTGTTTCCAGTCTTTGCAGTTAATTAACAGTGTTCTTCATATGCACGTATTTCACAGATTCCCTAGGGTACCTTTGAAAATTGCTGGGTCAAAAGATACCTGTTGGGGATGCCCGCCTTCCCTGATTAAATTCTCATTGCTTTACACAGTTCCTTGCCAACACTAGGTATTATCAGATTTTTTTTAAGATTGTTTGGTGAGTGATAGGTCTCATCTTGAATTTCTCTGATTACTAGTGAGGTTGGACATCCTTTCTAATGTGTCGTATTACAGGTATTTTTTCCTAGTAAAATTGTATATTATGGCTGAAAATTATTATGTAAAGTTGAAAGTACCATGAAGTAGTTACTACAAGATAGAAATATACCATAATTGTATCTTTAGAACATTGGCAACTTTGCAGATTTTTTGGGAGGAAATGATTTGGTTTCCGTTAGCATATTAAGAGCATGGACTTGGGAATTAACTGATGCTTGAAACCTGGCTGCATTGTTTTTTGTTTTTTGTTTTTAAGAGGGGAAGGGAAGGGCAGAGGAGGAGGGAGAGAGATTTGTCATTTTGTGCCAATCAGGACATTAGTGACTATGACAGAGCTGTCTAGGGTCACAGTGGATAGGTGGGAGTAACCTTGGGACCCCTGTGGGTGCCCGGGCTCTGACCTGGGTTTGGGGACTGTCAGTAACCATATGATGTGGGAGAGATGGCTGGGTGCCCTGGAGGTCATGGTGGAAAGGCAGGCTTGTAGATTATTGTGAATTTATTTTATTTAGACTGTTCTCATGTCTCTTACCACAGGAATTTCTCCACATGGCTTCCAAAGAGGTGACCATTACAGTTCGCCTCGTTCGTTCATTTGAGCATCGCAATTTCAAGCCTATAGTATATCATGGAGTTAATTTGGACCAAACTACAAAGGAATTTATAGTATTTCTAAAGCAAGGTATGAGATGTCTTAGTCATTTTGCTTTATTAGTATTTTGAAAAAATAGTTGACTATTACATGGATGGTAATCTTTTAAAAATACTTTGAAATATTAATCTAGTAGGTCAGCTCCTGTTCTGTTCCTTGGCATCAGCCTGAAGTACCTTCCCGAGGCTCATTTAGCACTGTGTATACCCACCTCAGGAATTATTACCCTCATGTTTGGCTTCTACCTTTTTTCCCTCCTTTTTAAATTTTTTATTATTTGTTATTTTAAAAAATTTTTAAAAGATTTTATTTATTTGAGAGAGTGAGAGAGAGCATGGTGGGGGGAAGGGGCAGAGGGAGAAGCAGGCTCCCCACAGAACAGGGAACCCAACATGGGACTCGATCCCAGGACCCTGGGATCATGACCTGAGCCTAAGGCAGATGTTTAACCATCTGAGCCACCCAGGCACCCACTTTTTTTTTTTAATTAAAAAAAGATTAAGATCTAGGTTTTCTTATAATGGGTTTATGTATTTGGAGGTTGATTAACAAGGGAATGCAATGTAGCCAATTGTGTTACCTGGCTGAGCACACAGAGGGCCTCACGGGGAGCAAGCTAGGAAGGTGACAGGCCTCTGTACGGCCAGAAAATCATGAGAGCTGTTGGTCACTGAGATCACAGAAATGACAACCAGACCAACTGGTGCTATTTTATCATTTCGAGCTTAAAATTCAATAGGTATGAAGTGAGCTTGCTTTTTCCCCAAAGATTTTATTTATTTATTTGTCAGAGAGCAAGAGAGAGCGAGCGCACAAGCAGGGGGAGCAGCAGACAGAGGGAAAGGGAGGCTCCCAACGTGGGACTCGATCCCAGGACCCTGGGATCATTACCTGAGCCAAAGGCAGACGGCTTAACTGACTGAACCACCCAAGTGTCCCAAGTGAAGGCTTTTGATAGGACCTCGATGGGTTTCTAAACCCTGTTTTTTTGTTTTTTTCCCCCAAAGATTATTTATTTATCTGACAGAGAGAGAGGGAACACAAGCAGGGGAGTGGGAGAAGCAGGCTCCCCGCGGAGCAGGGGGAGCCCGATGCGGGGCTCGGTCCCAGGACCCTGGGATCATGACCTGAGCCGAAGGCAGCCGCTTAACCAACTGAGCCACCCAGGTGCCCTCTAACCCCTGTTTTTAATTATTGAAGTGTTCCAATCATCAACATTTGATAAAACATCTAGAATGAGCTTTGGTTATTTTAATTGAAATGTAATTTACATATGGTGTACAGATTATAGTTCCATGAGTTTTGACAAATACAGTGCTTTATATCCATCTTAATTTTTTTTTTTTACTTTGACATACTTTTAGACACAGAAAAGTTGCAAAAATAGGACAAAGAATTCCAACTTTGGGTAGTTTTACTGCTCAGTATTACCTGAGTAGGGAGTAGGCAAGGTAGGCGACCTATACAGAAGACAGACCGCTCAGTCTCCCTTGTAGTGACTGTTAAAAGATTTCATAAGGAGAACATCATTACTCCTTAAAGTAACTGTAGGCTGACATATGGAGCATATGTTGTTATTGCTGTGTTCTTAATTGTTAGGGGGAAATTGAGAGTTGGTACTAAGATATTGCCAATTACAGAGTGTCTTGCTTTTGAAAAGATAACACTAGAAGCATATTTGGATTTTGAAATAAAAACAAATCCCTGTATTTCTTATTTTGAAATCTTTATGCATATTATGAATTTTATAGTGTTTCTTAGTATTGTCGTAGTAAGTGCTACGATGTTCTTGGTACAGTGCAGGATAAGTTCTTCTCAAAGCCCTTGAGAATGAGGTATAATCTTCAGCTGCTGCAGTGGTAGGGGAAAATGTACTGTTCCCCTCCACCACCCCCACTGATTCCACCCCCCACCCCCCGCCCCGGGTCACTGTGCTCCTCTCTTCCCAGATACCTTTGGTGCTTTCCCCATCAGAGTAGTAGTACGGATCACAGCTAGATGCTCAGCCCTGCCTGTCCACATCTTTCACCTGTGTTGGTAATAACATAACTGCTACTTGTTTTAATTGTATGTGTGGCAAATGTGTCCCACTGACTAAAAGGTGAACTTTTGGGGTGCGGGTTCTTTTGACTTGTGGGCTCTGTGCCCAAGCCTATCTGATTGGAGGCACTGTGGAACTTCTCTGAAAGGGTGGTGGGCCACATATCTACCTTTTGTAATTTTGTACATAACAAAGACCAAAGAGTTTATTTTGGGGGAATTTTTCAAGTTAATGAGCAAAGCAGGGGAAGTGTTAGAGGGAGAGGGAGAAGCAGACTCCCTGCTGAGCGTGGAACCCGATGTGGGACTCCATCCCAGGGCTCTGGGATCATGACGCGAGCTGAAGGCAGAAGCTTAACCAACTGAGCCACCCAGGTGCCCCTTATTTCATCCTTCTAAAGTAGGAACTGTTTTATCGCATTTTATAGGTGAAGAAACTAAGGAACAGAGAGGGTAAGAAACTTGCCTGAGGTTACATGGCTAATAAAAGGCAAAGCTGCAGTTCAACCCAGGCAGTTTAACTATATGTGTACTATTTTATTTATTTATTTATTTAAAGATTTTATTTATTCATTTGACAGAGACACAGCGAGAGAGGGAACACAAGCAGGGGGAGTGGGAGAGGGAGAAGCAGGCTTCCCGTGGAGCAGGGAGCCTGATGCAAGGCTTGATCCCAGGACCTTGGGATCATGACCCAAGCTGAAGGTAGACGTTTAACGACTGAGCCACCCAGGTGCCCCAACATTTAAAAAATTTTTTTAATTTAAATTCAGTTAATTAACATATAGTGTATTACTAGTTTCAGGGGTAGAGTTTAGTGATTCATCAGTTGCATATAACACCCAGTGCTCATTTCATCAAGTGCCCTCCTTAATGCCCATCACCCACCTCCCCTCCAGCAACTCTTAGTTTGTTTCCTATAGTTAAGAGTCTCTTATGGTAGGGGCGCCTGGGTGGCTCAGTCGTTAAGCGTCTGCCTTCGGCTCAGGTCATGATCCCAGGGTCCTGAGATCGAGCCCCCATCGGGCTCCGTGCTCAGCGGGAAGCCTGCTTCTCCCTCTCCCACTCCCCCTGCTTGTATTCCCTCTCTCGCTATCTCTCTCTCTGTCAAATAAATAAATAAAATCTTTAAAAAAAAAAAAAAGAGTCTCTTATGGTTTGTCTCCCTCTCTGTTTTTATCTAATTTTATTTTTCCTTCCTTTCCCCTAGGTTCATTTGTTTTGTTTCTTAAGTTCCACATATGCATGAAATCATATGGTATTTGTCTTTCTCTGATTGACTCTGCTTAGCATATGTACTCTTTTTTTTTTTAAATTTAGATTCAATTAGGCAACATACAGTGCATCCTGAGTTTCAGATGTAGTGTTCAATAATTCATCAGTTGCGTATAACACCCAGTGCTCATCACATCACAGCGCCCTCCTTAATGCCCATTACCCGGTTACCCCATTCTCCCACCCCCGCCCCTCCAGTAGCATGTATACTCTTACACACCACACTAAGTTGCCTCTCTTCTGTAAAGTAGCTGGTCCGTTGGGTGAATACTAGGAGAGTTTGTTTCTTTGTATCTGATGCTCCTGTCCACATTTTTCCCATTACTAATGTCTTACCTTAGTCTGCTACATTTATTGCAAGGAATGAGCCAATATTGAGTCATCATTAACTAGTCTATGGTTTCTTTTGGTTTCTGTAGTTTTTACCTAGTATCTTTATTCTGTTCCAGGATCTCTTCTAGAATTGCACACTACATTTAGTTGTCATGTCTCCCTAGGTTCCTCTGGGCCATATGGGATCCTCAGATCATCTTCCCTGCTTGACGGCTTTCACAATTTTGAGGAGCACTGGTCAAGCCTATTGTAGGACAGCCCTCTAGTGGAATTTGCCTGCTACATTTCTCGTGATTAAACTGGGGTTATGGGTTTTTGAGAGGGAGGCCACGAAGGTGAAGTGTCACTTTTATCCTGTCATATCGGGGACATGTACTTTCTACGTGATTATGATCATTGCCGTTAGATCACCCAGCTGTGGTAGTGTTAGCTTCTCCACTGTAAAGTTAGTCTCTCTCTTCATCTCGTACCCTTTGGAAGGCAGTCGCTGTGCACAGCTCACATACAGTTCAAGAGTGGGGAGTTCCGTTCCCCCTCCTTTATGGGGTAATATCTACATCATTTATTTGGAATTCTGCAGGGGACATTTTGTTTTGTTGTGCAAACTCTTCTGGCTCTGCCCGCTGGGGACCTTGAGTTGTCTTCTGTGCCCCTTCTCTCTGTGTGCTTGTGTTGAGTACTTTCTCACTTTCTGGTGCTATAAGATGCTTCAGGCTCATCTTGTTTATATCCTGCCCCAGTCCCAGAATCAGCCATTTCTCAGTTCCTGAGAGCCAGATCTGGGTGCTAGCTGGGCTCACTACTCCTAGGGTATTGTTTTTTAAAGCTCTCTCAGCTGGAAGAGCAAAGAAATAGATCACCCTGTACACATACACCTATCTATGAGTATTTTCATGTCACCATCTGTATCTGTAGGTTAAACATGAGTCCTTCCTGATGTTTTCCAGTCCATTCCAACATGTATCCTTTTGGCTTCCTCCCCTTGTGTATTTATATTCCTACCCTAAGTGAGGAGTCTGGCTCCCATCATCTGCCATCCATTTACTTAATTTTTTAATTCCAGTATACATAGTCATTAATCTGTACCCTCTGGGAAGCAACTTGATATTAACTAGAAGTCAACACTTTGGTGCAGTTCCTTTTGCCTTAGATTTAAAAAATGTCTTCATTGCCACAGTTACTGATGTCAGCAGCTTTTCCTCCACTGCCCTCAGGAAGGTTGTTTCATACATTTGCAATACGTCTAGATTCTCTTGTCATCGTCTGTATTCTCGTCCTCCTGAAAGGTGGTGTTTTGTTTTTTTTTTTTTATTTGCATACATTGAAGTTCACTCTTTGTGCTGTAAAGTTCTGCGGGTTTCAACAAATGAGTAATGTTGTGT